CCCCAAAACCCCAAAACCCCAAAACCCCAAAACCCCAAAACCCCAGAACAAATATTTTAATTGCAATCTTATAATTACTTAAATAAAATAGAATGATGGAGTCCTCTGCTAAAAGAATAGAAGATATACGGAACCAAATTATTCCTGCATATAAGAAAAATGCTTCTGCCTTTGTATCTTCGCAATCTAAGAATATAATAAAAGTTAAGCTGAATGAAGAAGAAGTAAATATGTTCAAGCCTCTGCTTAAGGATATACCTTATTTCCAAGACCTTCCGATCACCTTTAGAGCTGAAATTCTCAGACTTATGACTAACTTCAGGGATGTATTACAAGGGCAAACCTTGATAAGCAACACTGAGGAATATCCTGATATTTTTATACTCTTTAAAGGCAAGCTCAAGTTCAGCAAATATTCCTTAGAAGAAATAGAGAAGGAACAAGAAGAAAAATAGCAAATCTGATATGCTTTCTAACATTGAAAATTTCAAAGAAGTCCAACCTATTTCAACATTTGGCTCTGTTGATGTCCTAACCAGTAAAGATAAACACAAATGGGTTCCCAAACATGTCTATGCTCTGGAAGATAGCTCTGTGATCACCTTTAGGTACAAAGACCTTAAAGAGAAGATAGGAGATGAGTATTGTAGAATAAGAAGGGCAGAAGACTCTGATTTCTTAAGGAAATAATGTCCCTGGACTTGACAGTATGATTTCATCCAAAAGAGAAAAGATTATTAGACTGTTCAGCAGAAAGGAATATCCCCTGCCTAAAATGTACATCGCAAGAGAAGGCGACTACAACACTCCTAAATCTAAAATAAGTATAATCAAAGAAGGGGAATGTAAAATATTTTCCAATAAAACACCTGCTATTTTGAATGAAAAATCTAAGAAGAGAAAGAGGAGGAAGAAGCTTTATGTGCCTGTGAACAATGGTTACTTTTCAAATACAACCAATTCATTGCAGATAAGCATTGTGAGTGAAGACTATATTATCGGAGATGAAGTGCTAGTCCTAGATCAAGATTCCACTTATCCATTCTCGGTCATTACGAATAGCAAAGTCATTGTTTACGAAATTACAGTTGAAAATTTATTAAATCATCTTCCTAAAGATATTATTCATGATCTCAAAAAGGGTTGAAAATAGAAAACTGAAGTTCTTGGATGCGAGAGTTAAGAATATTTGCAAAAGTGTCAGTGAAATATCTAAATGGGACAATGTATATCAAGAATCTATTGATAGAATAACCGAAGTATCTAAAATCTTTAGTGCAAACAAGCCAGCCATGATAAATATTAAGAATCTCCCGATTACCTCAAATATAACAACTAGTACGATTTCAAGAAAAATGGCAAAGTCTAACTCTCAGCCTTTCCTCTTATCCAACAAAATTATGGAAATTCCCCCTGATTTAGAAGAAAAGAAAGTACCTGATCCCAGTTCCAAGCTAGCCTCTCCCAAGAAAATAGGTTACACTTTGAGATCAAGAGCTTCAGAGGCAATGATTTCCAAAAAGGATAGCTCTTATTCATCTGATTTGAAACTCAAGAGTTATAGTGTAATATCCCAAAAGAATACATCGCTGCAGAGTAGAGTAATTTCATCGATCCCTGATACTACAAGAATTTCTAATTTGAATATGTTATCAACCCCACACCAGAAATTGCTTCCTCCAAAAGCAACACGGATTGGAGTCTCTAGGTTAGGAATTTACGGAAGAAATTCCATTCTCGAGAATAGCATGAAAGAAGTCTATTCAGGAAGTAAGACCCAGAGAAAACTAGGTGAAATGTAAAAGTAATATACAAATAAAAGGGTCACACTTATCTTACAGAAATATTTACTCATGAAAGTAAAGATTCTTATTCTCCTAAACTTCTTCTATTTTCAACTTTTTACGAAAGCCTCCTTTTTCATTTGATAACTATTATTTAAGAAGCTTGTATTTTATGGAAAATTTGATAATCTCTGTTCTGAGCTATAGATTCCTTTGCTTACTCACCAGCACTAATTTTTTAATTGCAAAGAATAGAATTTTAAAGAGATAATTGATATTAATCAGTGGTTTAATTCAGTGCCTTCAATATGGAGAACTTATTCAGGGGTTTTGGGGTTTTGGGGTTTTGGGGG